GCTCCTGCCGGGAGCTTCGTCCCGCTTGCTGGTGTTTGTTTTTTTGGTTTTGTTTTTTTTTTTTTTTAATGAATACGGGGCCTGGGTTCTGCCAGCCCATGTCATCTCAGCAGCGGCACGGAAAACCTTAAAGGTGTGCTGCCATTGGGTAATGCTGCTCTGTAATGTCTTGTTATATATATATATGTGTGGCAGCACACCTTTATATACATACATACATATATGTATGACTACCTGCTAGTAGTGCTGTGGAGTATTAAGTTTGCTCAGCACCAGTGAGGAGATGTTAAGTGTTGCACGTTGGTGGAAGCAAAGTCCTTGTGCTATTCTAAATAGGCTACTTGGGAATAGATACAGAAAAAGCTGTTCAGGATATTTGGGTGACCCATATATTTGGTAGTAGAAATGTGCTAGGATGCAATTTTAAATGGATACTGTGATTATTCTTGCAGAAAGATTAAAAACATGAACATGCCTCTGGTACTTTAGGAGATGGAAGACACATCGGGTCGTTGCTTTGAAGCTGTTACAACAGGAAGGTCAGGTGCAGAGCAGCCACCTGCATCCTCAGAAAGCAGAGCAGTCAGAGATGCCAAGAACGGGGACCCAGCAGAGAAGCTTCTGCTTCCAGAAGCTACAGACACTGTACAGTCAGAGGAAGGCTGCGAGCAGCAGTCTTCTCTGGAGCAGTCAGCTCTGAAGGAACGGGAGCAGTCAAGTTTAGCGGAGTTGGAACTGCCCAGCAAAGGACGAGGCAATCAAGAAGTGATTGGAAGTAACAAGCAAGATGTATTTGAGCCAGATGCCCCGTTCAGTGCATCATCTGAGAGCACATCTCCTGTTACCGATGAGAATTATTCTGCTTTACTTGAATTAAGAAATTCAGAAGGGGAAGAACAAACATCTCAAAACCCAGTACTACCAGAGAATACGGCAAGTGGGAGAGAAACAGGTAAAGAAATCTTTAAAGTGTTGGATGTTAGGGCTTCATAGTTATTTTTTCTTCAACTTGGTTATGGCTTCTTGCACCCCCCACACCCTCATTCTGTCCATGTTTGCTGGATTTTAGTCTTGAAGTGACTTTTAAAATTCTCATCTAAAACATGCTTGAAAAGGTGAGGAATGTATTCTTTATCTCAAGTTCTAGTAGCAATTTATCGACTAATGTGGCGTTTTGTAGAGTGACCTTCACTTCCAGAAACGTGTGTGAGTATGTATATGTGTTTTGTACACGTGTTTGAAAAACAGCAGTGCATAACTCACACGAACACATGGGGTACTAACAGTTTAGTCTAGACCGTAGCAATCACCTTACTATTTTACTTCTCTTAGATTCCCCTGTAACTTAGCTGCCACCCTTGTGTTATCCGTGCCTTTTTCCTGCAGTCCTCAAAATGCTCCCATCATTTCCTGCACTTGTTCCCCTCCATTCTGGGTGTCCTGTGTTACTTCCTCTTCCCAATTCAGTGCCCTGTTTTCTTGGGTCTTTGGAGCAGAAGGTAGCACATCCCGTTCAACAGGTGAGCACAGCACATACCTGTCGGAGTATGAAGCTGCTGCCTGCCTTCCTTTTGGCAGGGCTGCGTTCAGACGCTCTCATTCAGAGTAGCTGGCGATCGCTTCCTAGGAAGGGCATGGTACCAAAGCCAGATAGGCTCTTATCTCTAAATCAAAACGAAGTGATTTCTGGAGCTTTGAGTTAAGTAGGTCTGGTTCAGAATGTAGTCTTTGAACAAATGCCACATCAAGTATTGTGTGAAAAACGACAGTGATTAAGCAATCTAGATCAGGCCTAAATAGGAGCAGGTTTAGGTAAGATATTTCAATGAAAGTTCACTGTATAAATTAGTAACTTTGATTTAAAATTATGCATTTGCAAATACAACATTTACTTAGTATAGCTTTAAAAAAATTTTAGTATGGATGACTTCTATGTGGTGTCAGTGTTACGTTGGATATCTCTTTAAAAAGTGTATAATAACTATTTCAGCTTTCAAGTAGACTGTCTTTCCAGCTCAAAAATCTATGATTATTCTGTGTCGTAGGGCTTCAATAAAATAATCTCAGGGTAAACTTGAGTTATTTTACTTATTTGTTTGGTTTGAGAGGCATACTAGGAACTAATTTTGGTTTTATTTTTAGGAAGCATGATTGAGGATGGTGAAGCTCTTTGGGGGACTAGGGCTAACTTTGATGAAACCACCCCGTCTGAGAAGTTACATCTTGATCAGGAACATTTTCCTGGGAAAGCAGTTCAACAGGATTACCACATGCCTGATATCATAACTGTTAGAGTACAAACAGGTAAATGCTGTTTTTAAATGTGTATCAATATATATATAATTGTGCTCTAATTTCAATCTGTTACTAAAATAAACAATATTTCTGTCTTGGAACTTCCATTTTAACAGATTCTGATTCATTCCAAGATGTAGTTGTAAAAATTGAAAGACCTACCTATCATAAACCATTTCTGGGTGGATTTAAGAACAGGATAACAGGAGTGGAATTTCATAATGCAGGATCACAAAC